TTCTCCGCCTAGAGGTAAAGGTATCACCAATAACACGCTCTAACCAAGCCGCTAGAAAGCAACTAGCATCAGGCAAGCGGCACCGGTCGCGTGCCATGAGTCCTTAGATGATATTCCGGTCGTTTCCTTAGTTAAACCATCCCCATTCCACTTGTTGTTTAGAACGTGCATATGTGCCCTCATAGAATGACAGACCGTGTAGTATCTTTCCTGGAACAGCTAAATAGAGACGGTTCATTTGTACCACCGCCACGGCAGCCACACGCACAAGAATTGACGTCCTCCGCTGCCTCGCGCTGGCCTGGCCACTGGCAGCTCGGGCAGAACACGTCAGAATAGTTCGAAAATTGTGGGCATTCGGGCCACAAGATTAAGATCAGTATTATCATAAGAGTAAGGCGCAGTCCTCTTCTCACTACAGGTTCCTTTTGAAGTTATCTCCTATCCACGTTACAGACACCCGATTAAAATCCTTCACGACTGTCCTCGCGTGTCAGCAAGCCCGCTCTCCAGTATGCAGAATGATCTGCATTCTGATTGGGCTAGCACCTGTCTGTGTGATAAACCTTGTGCATACACTGGCGACGAACCAGGCTCGGAAACGTGTGTGTTGTTAACTGCTTTGTAGAACGTGGGTATACCAAGCGTAACAAAAAAAAGAACAGAGGACATAGGGGAAGTCGTATTACATTAACTGAGTAGAGTCGCCGCTGGCAAAGAGGCCGCATGCGGCTCGCGAGCACGCGGGCTTGCCACTCCGCGCTAGATGGAATAACAATATATCTATGCAAGAAGATATATGAGGAATACACTAGTTGTTAGAAAATGTACTGGCCAAGCGTGCATTACTTCTGCTAATTTCACAAACCAACTGTTGATTATTAAAAATACAAATCTGTAATTACACTCCCTTTGTTTCGCTGAGCGGGTGCTCATGGAACTGTCGGGCACCGAGGGGCGGGTGCAGCAGTGAGCGAACAGAAGCATGCGCTTGTCTACGCAGGAATGTCTGTGTGTGCGAATTACAAAGAAGAGCCGAGGAAACTCCGATACTTAAAACATCTCTTATTTACCCTCCTTGTATGAGATCATATTTAACCTCCATACTTCTCTTCACCTCCTCTACAATCGAGACTTATTGGTCCTGACTTTCTCTTTTCTTACTTGTAAGACAAATGTACGCATTAGTTGATTAATATGTTGTCAAACTGCACTGTAAGTTATTCTGTATATTAAGGGCGTCTACCACCACTGAGGGTCCCTTTTATTAGATTGTAGCGCCATAAACTCTATGGGATTATTTATCATGAGGTTGTGAAGTGGGGTATAGCCCCTCTGTGAAAAATGCCCTTTTCTGGTTCTCGTGTGGGCATGCTATAATCCTTTGTATGTGCCCCAGGCAGGGCTAGCACTCATAATACTGCGGTATATATTGCGCGATCAGATGAAACACAAAAATCAAGAAGATCGCTCCCAGTCTCTCTGAGAAGACATAGCGAGAGACACATCGCCTCGGTCGGTCTTCCGGTTAGTTTCGCGGATCAGATCTGCGGAAAACACAATAAACGCGCTCTCAGCGAGTGGGCAGATAAGGAATGGGCGTGGATAATGGGTCAGCGGAAGCGAGCGAAAGGTGTGGTGCGAGACAAATAGAGAAAATCTAAGTCCTTCTATATACCTAAATCTTGAAGTAATGGTCACATCATTCATTCTCTCAGTACTCGGAGGCGCGGAGTTGAAGGTTCCTTTCCGTGGTGGTGGTGTGTGTGTGTGTTTCAGTCTAACGCGTGTCTGATGAGGAACTGCAGAAGCTGCTGTACGCACAGAGGAGTCAAAGATTACACAGAGGCAGCAATACCTCCCTAGCGGAGTTTGTGCCTTGGTCCCGTGCTGTCAGAGGACAGCTGAGGTGTGATATGAAGAACTGTATGCTCTATGACACGAGACAATATTCTAAGAGTATCACTTCTGATTGATGAATATGACCCTACAGAGGCTGGTCCAAGCTGGGCTGCCACCAAACAGAAGAACCTGAGGACCAGGAAGTGGAAGCCCCAGATACATCCTAACTCAGGTACTCTCGGTTGCCTCAATAGTCCCATGTTAGCGTTAGGAACCGTTCTAACCAAGTGAAATGAAACCGGAGCTCCACCGTCGCCGCTCAATGCAGCATGTTAAGTGCCGTTCCAAGGTGCGTTGCCAATAGTCCATTTAGCTTAGACTTCTACCGAAGGTGAAATTACCGGAGTACGTCAGTGCTAGCCATGTTAAGTGCCGTTCCAATCCCAATGAAGGAAAGGAAGGTTTCAAAACTTCCTTTATAACCTCCTTTTAGCTAGGAACCACTGGACACCTTACCGAAAGAGAGGAGAAAATGTTGCCCACAATGCCTGCGACCGCAGCATCGTGCGTCGACATAACAGTCGGCCGTGATCCGGAAACAACAGATTATGACGGAGAAATTATAATCATGAAAGTTACGTGCTTATTAGGCAATTTAAAAAAAGTATGTGGTACCGTTGCCAAAGTGCTTTGTTTTGAACGTTCATCAGTAAATAATCAAAGAAATATGAACGTTAGTTTTTACGGGAAATGATCAATAAAGTCCACATTCTATCTGAGCTGTGTGGGGTTGTTCAACTTTTAAAAGATTTTTGAAGGGATAAGTACACAGTGACAGTGTTATAAGGACTAACTTTATAATAATTATTTGTATTGGATTTTAAGTATCTTTCTAAATCATACGTATTGGGATCATTTGTAGTTAAGGGAGCCTGAGGGAGAGGTGAAGAGCATAGTTCATTTCCTTTTTTATTTATCAATTAAAATGGTCATGAAGAATATGCTTCTCTGTCTGTACCACGTGTCTAAAGCATAAAGCAACAGCTCAGGGCACGTGCGAGTCCCTAGGATGATTGCGTCGTCTTATTGAAACATCCATGTTGTAGTCCCTGGTATAGAAAATGTAGTTACATAGTTTCCCCACAGCACAGACGCACAAAATGACGATCCGCGGCGCATCATAACACGTCAGATACGTGAAAATGCATCGATTCACTAAAGTACCGAGTCTCTCCCTAAGTCCTTTGAATTCCTCCTATCCACTATCCCTTAACCCCGTGACGTTTCACTCAGAGGTCAAGGAATAGGAGATAGGGTTAGCACTTAGGAGCTGATTTTTGGATTATCGGAATGCAACCCTCCACTGCCTGTGGTTAGAAAAGTCTTTGAAATAAAGATGACTTTCTCTCTGATTATCTCCACATTTTGATCACAGATATCTTAAGAGTCACGCGTTAATAGCACAATGGATTTCAGTGGATGGATGCCCCATTGATATGCCTTTTGGTGGGGACCTTGGCCCTTTCTCATTTCGTCAAATCCCCCTCCTCGACTCCTCGACTCCTCGGTCCTCCGTTAGTGACCCGGAAATGAATTTCAGCGCGCCATGTTGAAGGACATCTCATTTCTCTAAATGCACTTCGAGGACCGAGGATCGAGCGTCGAGGAGGCTCTCTGGAGGAGCTATAACCGAGGATACACTGATGGGTCCTCCACGGTCCTCCACGGCTCCTTCGTAAATGCATTTCCGGGAACAGAGATGTTTCAAAGAGTCGTGACGCACGACCGGACTTATCTCAGCCAATGACAGCTCTGCATGCATCCCCTGGATATTATTTTATTAACTGCTTTCATCGCGACGCAATGTTTACAGTGAGAACAGCTGTGAGGTCCGTGCAGAAAGCAGAGCAGTGTGTATAATATATATCACTCAGTATAAGAGGCCTACTCTCTTTATTTGCTTTAGTTTAGTAGATATCTACAAACAAAGAGTCAATATTTTTCTAAAACCATTTAGTGCTTCACGTAATAAAATACACAACGGCTGTAGCCTGATTATATGCTTTAGGAGCTGTAGGTGCGTGCTGTGGTATAGTGTGTAGGTGTGTGTGGTACAGTGTGTAGGTGTGTGTGTTGTACAGTGCGTAGATGCGGCGGAAGGACGGGTCTCAGTTGGTTTGGTGTCCTATACTTACTTTTAATACTTGTAAATAAAACTTTTGGCCCGTAATTTCAATTCCCCATTGTAGCGACCAGAGAGGGACTAACCGTCTGCTGCTTCCCCTCCTCTCTCCTCGGCTCCCCTCCTCGGCTCCTCCGCTCGCATCTCCTGTGGGCGGGACTAAGTCTCGAGGATAGGAGTCGAGGAGGGGAGTTAGAGAAATGAGAAAGGGCCCTAGAGTGTGTTGATAATATTTATATAATTTTGGAACTAATAAATACAAAACAAATCATAAATAAATATTAGGAACATAGTAATATTTTTAAAATGTGTTATAAGTAATAAACTGTATAAATAACAGGCTTAAGGAAGTGTCTTAAAATGATTTAATCAATCAAATTAGTTTCTGAAGAAAATGTGTTCATGTTTGATTTCTGGACTACAATAGGAGGTAGAAACCCTATTTTTTTCCCTTAATGAATATGTGTATACATTCATAGATTTGCATGTTTTTAATGTTTTTAATTTATGCATAAAGTTATAGACCATTTGTAACAAAAATAAATGTTGCGTATGCATAATGGTATACTTTATTGTCTTTCAGTGTGGGAGTGGATTCAGAGCGCCCAAGGTAATCTGGATTTATATATTATAAGTGGTCTACAACAGAATATCACAACATTGAAATACAACTTGTTACAACCTGCTGATTCTTACAATATTCCTGAATTTGAATCCTAGTCTCGGTGCGGTTGGACATCAGAACCTGTCATCCCTGGCTGGATGTGTCCTCAGATTGCCTGAAGGTCCGAGAGGCAGCAGTGTCCTCCACTGATGTCCCAAACTACAGCCAACAGTCTGCTCAGAGGCCCTGTGTGCTGGGGGACATTATCATCACTGAAGGGAGACACTACTGGGAGGTGGAGGTGTCCCCTAAGGGCAGCTGGAGAATAGGTGTGGTGTCAAAGACTGCTCCCAGGAATCTAAAGTTCACCATGACTCCCAGAAGTGGATACTGGACCCTGTGGAGGGGCACCAGTCTGTGGGCCTGTACCGAGAGACCCACTAAGCTGCAGAGGGCGGCTCCCCCCCGAGTGATCGGGGTGTTTGTGGACTCTGAGGAGGGTCAGGTGTCTTTTTATGATGCTGAGAGAAGGATTCACATTTATACTTTCTCTGACGTCTTCAAACACAGCCTCATCCCTCTGCTCAGCTACCTGGATGGAGACACGCTCCTTAAAATCATCCCAGCACAGATTTCAGAGAAGATGTGACTAATATGAATCAATGTGACGAAATCAGACATCGTGGTCCTAGAGGAATATTGACCTTGATTTCAATATAGTAGATTCAAATCTGAATACTATAGGACCACCTTCTTTGACAACTTTATTTGCCAATGTTCTCGTGTTTCTTTACTAAATAAAATGAAATGGAATCATACACAATTTTTGGTTTTGTTATTTAGACATACACTGACACAATGAGTTTATACTCATTAAAAATAGTTTTGTAAAATCCAATGCATTATGTAAACAGAGGTAGCATAGTGCACACAATATGTTACTGATCATAATTGTAATGTTTTTTTTATTTAATTTTTATTTATTAATATTATCATTATTATTATGATTATTATTATTGTTATTATTGTTATTGTTGTTGTTTTCATAAGGGGTAGCCTCGTGCAAACAATAAGTTACCTTCATCATTTTCATGGTGTGATTGTTATTATTACGAATAATATTGTTGTTGTGGTTATGTAGTTATTTTTATTGTTATAACAATGGCTAATTCAACCAGCTGAATCATTGTGGATGTGCTAGCGGAACCTTTGTGTGGTCGTGCGATCCGGGGGGGGGGACTCTTTATCTGTTACACATTGAACGGCAACGTCTGAACGTCACAACAAATCCCCACAATGGCGGAGGGAAGTGTTTTGGTTGAAGGGTTGTCCTTCATGGACCCTTTTAAAGGGTTTTTGTTGACATATTTCATGCCAGAGTCATGTTACGACGAGTTCTTTCTCAATTTCAACTTGTTGGACGGTAAGTGGCTCCTTTGTATTAAATACCGGAAGTTTATTGAAGGGAAAGACACTTGAAGATGTTGCAATGCGTCATGCTGATAATAACTCAGAAACATGCTGTACATTCAACCTTAGGTCAGCAGACGGGTAGCTGCTATCGGGTCGTCAGTTTGTCAATTTTTAAAAACGCCGAATTCATAGTGCATTTATTCAGAATGTCATTTAAATGAATCATGAGTCACTTCATTTGACAGCAGTGGAGAGTGTCTCCACCTGTTTTTCTTTGCCAATGTGTTGTCATAACTTTTATACCTGGTTTATGTTCACTGGAAACTGACCTGACATCAATCATTGATCGCCACAGTGAAGAACAAGACAAAACTGCCATATCCGAGATCAAGAGCCAAGCCTGACTAAATCAATGGTTAACACTGATCAGACTTATTCTAACTTTATGACAATATTCCTTAATGCCTACTTAAGCACTGGGTGACATGTCCCTTCCTTGCTTCATGAACACACACACTATTTTTTATTTTATTACACACTGTCCTGCAGCTTCATTACTCCTAGAGCCTGTATGTTAATGAATCCGCGGCTGCAAATAGTCCCAAACAAATGCACTCTTTCCTCCTGTTCATGAAACCTTTTGCGTGTGTGTTTCTGTGTGATCTATGACAGCCAGCTAATCTTTTTATATTTCTTAATTTCAGTACCATGTCTCAAGATTTTACTAAGCAAAGGCCTGGGGATCGGCATCATCCTGGGATCAGTGATGGGTAAACCTCATCTCCACTTCTCTTTATATGTGTCTGTGAAATTTTTAGTGAATTTCGAAAATATTTTAGTCATTATTGTTTTTGTCGTTTTGTAATTCCTTTATGTTCTCCCTTCTTTACAGTGAAACTGCCTCAGATCTTCAAGCTGATGGGATCAAAGAGCGCTGAGGGGCTGAGCTTCCAGACCATCCTGCTGGAGCTGCTGGCCATCACAGGAACAATGGCCTACTGTATCCACAACAAGTTCCCTTTCAGGTTGGGACGCAACGCAATGCAAATCAACCGTTTGAACTAGAGATTAACACGGTGCTCTCTGACTTCTGCCTCTGTAGTTTGATATGTTGAGTAACATGTGGCGGTTGTTTCCACAGTGCCTGGGGCGAGGCTCTGTTCCTCATGCTGCAGACGATCGTCATCGGCTTCCTCATTCAGCGCTATGGAGGGAACACCAGCCGAGGTAAGACTGCGTAGAGGACAGCAGCACTTCCCGCTCTTCCGACATGCCCCGCCCCTTTTGGGTGGAAGCAGCCTTTCTGATTTGACGTTCTCCCCCAGGTCTGCTGTTTATCGTGGTGTATGTCGGGCTGCTGATTCTCGTGCTGTCTCCGGTCACCCCCCTGTCCGTGGTCACCTACCTGCAGGCCTCTAACATGCCAGCCATCATCATAGGCAGGGTAGGACAAGACCTGTCATACATTTATAGTGTTGGAGCTATTCATTCTTTTATATACTTATTTGTTTTACTTTTTATTCATCGGCATATTCCATTAAACAGATACACTTTGTTCAGAATATAAACTTTACATATTGCAAAGGTAAATCACAACAAAAACAAGAAAATATAAAACTAAAATACAAAATTAAAAAATATATAAATAAATACAAATAAAGGAAAAAACAAAATCTTTTAGAGTTAAATTAAAGCTGATTACAAAGCAATGACTTGTACAGTTCATATTTGGTCATGGGTCGAATAAGACAGGGATGATTTCCAAATTCTTCTTTTCTGTTGCATTATTTAATAGTTAAGCATTCATTTTATTGCTCTTTTAATAGAATAAATGTAACGCCACGACGGCAGTTAGATTTGTTATAGTTTGTTATGGTTTGAGGACAAATAACTGCGACATACAGTCATACACTTTTGACATTTAACATTTGAATCATTATTCAACTAATTTAGTGATTGCTACCTGTTTCCATGCTGTTTGTCTCAGCTGATCCAGGCTGTCTCTAACTTCCGGAATGGACACACTGGCCAGCTGTCTGCCATCTCCGTCTTCCTGCTGTTTGCCGGTTCCCTCGCCCGCATCTTCACCTCTCTACAGGTAACATAAAATGTCTGTTTCCATCTTTCATTTCCTATAAAAATTCCCATGTTGAAAAACTCACTTTGCGCCATATTGTCCTCTCACAGGAAACTGGAGACACGCTGATGGCCCTCACCTACGTCATATCCTCCACCTGTAACGGCATCATCGCCCTGCAGGTGCTCTACTACTGGAACAGCTCTCCAGAACACAAGAAGAAGAAGAAAAAGAAGAGCGAGTAGGCAAAAGGACAGTCGCTAAACTTGAATCAACGAGCAACACTTTTCTTTTCATATTCAACTATCTCAAAGAAGTGTCTTTAAAACTTGAATTGACAGAGACACTGGGAAGTATGGGGCATTGATTCTGCTGGACCAACCCTCGAAGGAAGGATGGGAACATGACATGCTGAGCAGGCTTTATGATTGACAGTTATCTGTTCTGTTGGTGGTGTGTATCTGTCCCGCTGTGCAATACACTGTTATCACATTCCTCTTATCCAGTTTTCCTCATTGCTGTCGGGCTCGTATTTTCAAATGTTTTGGAACATGTTTGGCTGTTGATTTTTCAAATCCAGGTCCTGTATTTGCAATACTAATCAACAAGAAAAACTTTTTGGGAAATTATTTGAAACGGTTTTGGATGCATGTAAAACTGATTTGTTGTTTTATCATTTCACATAAACAGAATTCCTCACAAGCCTCTGACTTTGCAAGATCTTTTCTGTGGTCTTAATTAGACATTTTTTTATGGAGTTTTAAATATGTAAAGTATAATGCACATTTCCAGTATTTCTGAGTTTACAAATCACCTTTTACTTATTAAAACGAGTACTGACTAGTTATTATTTCTGATGCTAACATGTTTCTCAATAACTACACAGATAACACTTACCCACCTTATGACAACATTGTGTCTCTTACCGGAGGAAAGTCCATCATGTGACATGGAGTTTCCTCTGGTAAGAGAACTTGTTTGTCCTGAAAGTGCCTGTTTTCCTGTCAGTCAACAAAGAGTAGAGAGTTACACTAAGCTATGGTGACTGGAAATATTACATCAGTAAACTGCATATCTATAGAAGGGATTTACATTCTTAAAGTTACACATATTATTGTCTTTACAGCACTAACCTTGGCCCTGTTGTCCATTCTAACAAAGACAACAACACATTATATATATATATTTATTACTCTGAGGGTGGGAGTTTACCAGAGCTAAATTAGTTCCAAACAATGTCATATCATAAGTTAACATTTCTATTGTTTTTGTTGAGGTCTTTCAACCCTAATCCATCTCCATATACAACAAGATAAGCTAGAATTTAATTCTTAATGTGTAAATTATTAGCAGCAAAAAACAAAACCTGAATCTATTTTATAATTAACACAACATAAAAACATACCAAGGCTGCGTCCGTGTTTTTATGTTACAAATTCGAAGCATAAATTGAACAGAATTAGTGGAATATGAGTCTTTGGGATGCTTTGAGCTAGCTGCTAGTATTTCACAATGAAAATGCTAACAAATAAATAGTTACCATTAGCATAAGCATAACAAAAGCTAAATTGCCAGCTAAGACTAGCTAGCTAGCATTGGTTAGCAATGTTAAGGAAGATTCATGTAAACTGATACTAATTAAGTTGCTAATGTTGGCTTATGTGTTACTAGAAAACAGAACACATTAACAGTCAGCTACTTGGAGCTACACTGAACAACTGCAACATTGACTTAAATTAAAGGTATAGAATAAGAATACTTTTATTTGTCCCACAGAGGGGACATTTGCATTTGTTACAGAAAGAAAAGGGCCAAAGACAGCTTAATATTAACCAAGAAGCAGGCATAAAAAAATATTCAAACACAATTTACAAAATACACAGTTCTGAAGATAAATCAGCCAGGTCTATATTGCACAGCTATTAATTGCATATATATTGCAGATATTGCTCATCATTGGTATTTCACAACAAGGGGTTTTATAGCATAGTCATGTTGTTATATCCAAGGGTCTACCAGGGACACATTTCATATAACTGTATTAGGTTCATTGAAAGCAATAATTTTAAGTTAAAATTATATTTGCTTTCAACTAACCTAAAAAAGTTATGTTAAATGTGTTGACGTGATACATTTAATTAAAGTTAATGTTTGAGTTTTTTCAGTAGGCCTATAACTTCTAATTATTTGTCTATC